CTGAAACATGGCAACTAAACCCAAAGAATTCACAATGTTTTATTATAATAATGTTCTCATTAGAATGTTATATACACGACATTCCCAATCATAGTTATTAATGTTGTGCACTGCTGTTTGAGCTGCGTGTGCTGAGCTAAAGATGATCACCGGTAAACTGAAGCGCTCTTTTAACTTAACCAAACGCATTCTATATGAGATAAATCAGATATACATCAAATAAACACAATATTACAACGTACAATTGCACAAAAGGCTGCAAACGAACAGCGTGCATCTGAAGTGTCTCTGAAGGAAATAATGCATTATTTATCGGCTTTAAGATATTGGCCAAATTTTCTTATCAGGCCGATACCGATAACAGAAAAAAATTTGCATTTATCTGCCGATACCGATATGGTGGCCGATATATCGTGTTTCCCTAGACACAACTTACTGTCTTGCTTATCACAGAATTTAACTTGTTTCATAATTGATGAACTTTACAGTTATTGAATTGAACTGAATCAAAACTGAACTGACTGGAGCTGAGAAATAAACCTGGCCTACATTTACACGTATATAGTAAAACATTTTACCTAAATGTGTGAGTTGCTGATGCTCTGCATGTTTCTCCACATCACAGTCTGCAGGGTATTTCAGGATGTCTGGAGGAAGCACTGGTGAGATGTGGCTTAAAGAAATCTCTGAGAAAACAAAATGTCAGTTGTTGCTCATAAATAAAATTACATTCCCTGTATTTTATATTTTTTATCGATCTTTAGATTTGCATTTAACACACATTTTAATAATTTATTTGATAATTACTTCATTCTTAATGCATACATTTTCACAATTGTTTGTGTGAGAGAGATGGACATAATTCACAGTATTCAGTATTTTACTTCCAGCAACCATCAGATGCGTCTGATCATTTTTAACAGTTTGTTGTGAAGTTGACGCCACACTGATACATGTCTGTGAGCTTGTATATAGAACTGAAAGGATGTGGTTTACCAGCAACAGTTTAATCTTAAGCATCTTGTTAAGCTATTGACAAAGCCTACAGCATAGCACGTATGACTGTTCTGACTTTGTGCACATTCTCACTGATGCTGGAAATCAGTGACAGCAACAGATGTATTATCTTAAATATCAAAAGATTTCAGAGCAGTTTATCCCTCAGTGACCTGCATTAGGCATTGTATGTGTGGGTAACCATATGCATAGGCATCTATGTTAGTACTATTAGCGACAGAGTTTGAGTTTGGTTTCCCATCAATCAAACCTGTGTTATTGCTAAATGACCTATTTATGTACGTCAGTGCAAAATTCTGCTCGCCCATCATCAAGGACAATTACAGTCAATCTAGAACTACAACCTACAGATCTGATATGAAGCCAGCTTGACTTATTTGACCACTCAGCAGAAATGCTTGCGACCAGTTTCTAAGAACATGATACAGTCTTACAGTATATCAGTGTTTTCATATTTAATATTATAAATCTATGTTGATGATTCCCTAAATCCTCTCTCATGCTCTAAATATGTGCTGTCAAAATTGATTGTAAAGTTGGAATACATATTAGTGCAAAATTATTTATAAATCATGACCTCTTCATGAAAATACATGTGTGCGCATTGTTAGGGTGTGAGATGGGACCTAATATATTACAGTACACTTACTTATGTGTTACACTTACTTACCTAATCTTTTTGACTGACGTTTGTTTCTCCAATAAATTGTAAACAGGATTAGAAATACAATCAGGCCAGTAATCACGATCCCTGCCCACAAACTAGCAGGTAACAACCAAGAACAAGCTGAAATAAAGGACAAAAAGTGAGTTTATTCATTATCCAGGTCTGCTAGGAGGGATTTTTTCCAACTCATTTTTAAAAGAATGAGTGAATGAATTAGATTGTTTAAAACACACACACACACACACACACACACACACACATTGAACTTCCTATAAAATAAGAGTTTTCTCTATAGAGACTTACATGTAGTACATGGTTTAAAATTTCCACACACAACATCTGATTTGCTGGTCCCAGAAACTTTCAGATGTCGACCCAAATCATCACAACTGTAAAATGACAGATTAGGCAAATTATTTTAGAGGGGAAACTGCATCAAGTTTTATTTGTATTGAGCTAAGGAAAATGATATGGAAACTATTTATTTATGTGTATCATTTTAGTCTTTGTGTGTATTGCTTTGTGTACATGTAGAAAAAAGGGAAAGAAATATGTATGTGAATGTCAGAGAGAGGTTAAGAAAGGAAGCGATACCCACCCACTCTCCTACACAGTGTACGTCTACACTTTTATTGAATGGAAGCAAAATGAATGTGGTTTTATTTTGTGTAGGAGAATGACATAAGACACATTTACATAAAACCTGTAATGGTTATACATAAAACATGCATTCCTCCTCTGTATTTTGTTTAAATCAGATAGAGGTGGATAAGAAATGGCATAATAGGTCTAAAAAGAAAAAGGTATAACTTGTAGAGAAAAAGTTAAGCAGAAGGCAAGACTTCATTGGTTGTGTAATTTGGAAGTAATCTTTAATGTGAATCAGAAGCTTGTAATAGTTTCACAAGAGATCATTTCAATTTAAAGGACTTTTTAGTGATATGTAGGCAGTGGGGGGGTGGGGGAGTGGGTTTGGGGGCAGTGGGGGATTTGTCAATTGTGAAATTGCAATTTATACATGTATAACACTGTCTCTCACCTTGTATGATTTTTGCAGCTGGAAAAGTAGTCATCCACATCGCTGTAGGTTCCCTCTGGGCAGGGTCTGCACACAGTGTCTTTCTGGAACGTGTCTGCAACACAGCTTCAGTTATTCATCAGTCCTCCTGCCCAACGTACTCTAAACAGTCTACGAAAGACCTTCAGACCATTACAGATCTTCTAACAGGCCTATCCATGCTTTAATGTAAACTCAACTGATTTTTGTTTTTTACCTGTCAATATGTAAGTCATTGTGGATATTGTGGCAAAGTGTAGTGTTATGTTCACATGGTCGATCTTTAGATTTGCATTTAACACACATTTTAATAATTTATTTGATAATTACTTCATTTTTAATGCATACATTTTCACAATTGTTTGTGTGAGAGAGATGGACATAATTCACAGTATTCAGTATTTTACTTCCAGCAACCATCAGATGCGTCTGATCATTTTTAACAGTTTGTTGTGAAGTTGACGCCACACTGATACATGTCTGTGAGCTTGTATATAGAACTGAAAGGATGTGGTTTACCAGCAACAGTTTAATCTTAAGCATCTTGTTAAGCTATTGACAAAGCCTACAGCATAGCACGTATGACTGTTCTGACTTTGTGCACATTCTCACTGATGCTGGAAATCAGTGACAGCAACAGATGTATTATCTTAAATATCAAAAGATTTCAGAGCAGTTTATCCCTCAGTGACCTGCATTAGGCATTGTATGTGTGGGTAACCATATGCATAGGCATCTATGTTAGTACTATTAGCGACAGAGTTTGAGTTTGGTTTCCCATCAATCAAACCTGTGTTATTGCTAAATGACCTATTTATGTACGTCAGTGCAAAATTCTGCTCGCCCATCATCAAGGACAATTACAGTCAATCTAGAACTACAACCTACAGATCTGATATGAAGCCAGCTTGACTTATTTGACCACTCAGCAGAAATGCTTGCGACCAGTTTCTAAGAACATGATACAGTCTTACAGTATATCAGTGTTTTCATATTTAATATTATAAATCTATGTTGATGATTCCCTAAATCCTCTCTCATGCTCTAAATATGTGCTGTCAAAATTGATTGTAAAGTTGGAATACATATTAGTGCAAAATTATTTATAAATCATGACCTCTTCATGAAAATACATGTGTGCGCATTGTTAGGGTGTGAGATGGGACCTAATATATTACAGTACACTTACTTATGTGTTACACTTACTTACCTAATCTTTTTGACTGACGTTTGTTTCTCCAATAAATTGTAAACAGGATTAGAAATACAATCAGGCCAGTAATCACGATCCCTGCCCACAAACTAGCAGGTAACAACCAAGAACAAGCTGAAATAAAGGACAAAAAGTGAGTTTATTCATTATCCAGGTCTGCTAGGAGGGATTTTTTCCAACTCATTTTTAAAAGAATGAGTGAATGAATTAGATTGTTTAAAACACACACACACACACATTGAACTTCCTATAAAATAAGAGTTTTCTCTATAGAGACTTACATGTAGTACATGATTTAAAATTTCCACACACAACATCTGATTTGCTGGTCCCAGAAACTTTCAGATGTCGACCCAAATCATCACAACTGTAAAATGACAGATTAGGCAAATTATTTTAGAGGGGAAACTGCATCAAGTTTTATTTGTATTGAGCTAAGGAAAATGATATGGAAACTATTTATTTATGTGTATCATTTTAGTCTTTGTGTGTATTGCTTTGTGTACATGTAGAAAAAAGGGAAAGAAATATGTATGTGAATGTCAGAGAGAGGTTAAGAAAGGAAGCGATACCCACCCACTCTCCTACACAGTGTACGTCTACACTTTTATTGAATGGAAGCAAAATGAATGTGGTTTTATTTTGTGTAGGAGAATGACATAAGACACATTTACGTAAAACCTGTAATGGTTATACATAAAACATGCATTCCTCCTCTGTATTTTGTTTAAATCAGATAGAGGTGGATAAGAAATGGCATAATAGGTCTAAAAAGAAAAAGGTATAACTTGTAGAGAAAAAGTTAAGCAGAAGGCAAGACTTCATTGGTTGTGTAATTTGGAAGTAATCTTTAATGTGAATCAGAAGCTTGTAATAGTTTCACAAGAGATCATTTCAATTTAAAGGACTTTTTAGTGATATGTAGGCAGTGGGGGGGTGGGGGAGTGGGTTTGGGGGCAGTGGGGGATTTGTCAATTGTGAAATTGCAATTTATACATGTATAACACTGTCTCTCACCTTGTATGATTTTTGCAGCTGGAAAAGTAGTCATCCACATCGCTGTAGGTTCCCTCTGGGCAGGGTCTGCACACAGTGTCTTTCTGGAACGTGTCTGCAACACAGCTTCAGTTATTCATCAGTCCTCCTGCCCAACGTACTCTAAACAGTCTACGAAAGACCTTCAGACCATTAGAGAGCTCAGTTTTTGCACAAGACTACAGAATCACAAGAAAAATTTTGTATTTATGATCTATGTATTTAAAAGCACAGGAATATAGTAATTTCTAGACAGAAGTTGCTTGTCTATGACCTAAAAAAACCTACAACCATGTATGCACAGCAAATCTAATAAGCATTTTGGAACATGTCTCGTTTTTTTGCCTTACTGACAATTCTATGGTAAGTGTCACTAAATTAGAACAAGATATTTGGAATGTAAATTAACTTCAAATCATGTCGCTATAAAATACTGCAGTAAAGAAAAGTGTTTGTTTGCCCGTACAATGAAATTCAGTGGGGTTGAAAACAATGGCTTTGATTGGCAAAAACACAATAAAGCATTATTCAAAATGTCTTCGTTTGTGTTCTCTAGATGAAAGAATGTCATACTTCTTTGGAACAAAATGAGGGTAAGTTATGACAGAATATTATTTTATCTATTTAAAATGAATGGATTTCATTGCAGTAGGTTAAAAACCCCATCAAACCAAGTGGTATCAGCAAACTAATTATACTTCTCAAATGACAATTTTGCATGCATGTAAAGTATGAAGTCCCACAGGTGTCTTAGCAGAATAACCATAGGTGTGGATCATCAACTATGTGTAGTTTAGGTGTACTGTAGTAAGGTGTCATAGGTGAAGTAACTATGAACACCCTCCGCAAGCATATGTGATCAGAAAGTGTTCAAATGCCATTTGGCTTCATTTGATTTATATATAGCCTAGTTTTATCATTTAAAATATAAGCTCACTGTGAACTATTTCGATGGAAAGGTGTCCTTGAGCTATCTTTCATTAAATTAAATGCTGTTTTGTTATATAATGTTGTGCATACATTAGTCCAGCTAATATGTCATTATTTCAAATTGATACAGAATGTCCTGTGTTATGTTAATGCGTGACTTCCAGGAACCATGAAAATCTAGCAGGGTTACAGTACAGGATTTCCTTTGTACGCCAGAGTCTCTAGTTGGCTGATTTTACCTTGATGAAAACAATGTGATGAGTAAAAATAAT